CCTGGATGCCTTACAGCTCGCCATGTTGTCTTGCCAGAAGATACATCAGCAGTTGAAATCTCCCATCATGATGAGAGCCTGTGAATGAGAATCTTCTTGTCACTGAAGCAGGAAAGTCATATCAGCAGCCTTCTCTTGATCAGAGGGCCTGTAGTAGATTGCAACCACCAGTTGTCCTTTATTGGTCCCTTCCCTAATTTTAACCCACAGGCTCTCAGCCTGTTCCTTACTGTTCCTCAGAGGGAGCTCCTCACAGTCTATCTACTCCTTAACATAGAGGGCAACTCTACCACTTCTCCTACCTTGATTACTCCTTCTAAAAAGCTTACAGTCCTGGTGGTGTTCCAGTTGTAGGAATTATCCCACCGTGTTTCTGCAATGGCAATAAGATCACAGTTTCCTGAGTGCACCAAGGTTTCCAACTCCCCTTATTTATTTCCCATATGCATAGTAAGGAAAAAAACAAACAAACAAGGAATAGAAGATATCATCAGGCTTTCAGCAAAACATTATGTTTGGAAGAATATTAGAAGGAATCAGACTGCATAAAGATACTCGACATAATGTTCAATAGTACTGAAAACTTGAAGCTATTTTTAAGTATAACAGAAAAACCTTCTGTATATATTTGGCTGGCTCAGGCTTTCAACCAGCCACAAAGAGATTGTTGGAGGAATTTCTGAGTAAAATGCTATCTAGGATTTGAATCAAATATCTATCACGAACTCAATGTATATATTCTGAAGTCTTATTGACTTCATTTTCTAATGATAGAGTTACTACAACTTCATCTACTACACATCAGGTAGGCCTCTGTAGTAAACCACGTGCACACCATGGGAAGTAAGAATTTGACTGGACTTGCCTGCATATGAAGAGCCACATAAGACTCATTTGTCCAGTTGAGCAGTGTAAGCAGAACAGTTATCACTGCCCAGTGGATATGAGGTAATATAATGCTATAGACATCTTGAAGCTGTGGCTTCAATAGTATTTACGTTGCTAAGTGCTTATATTGTTTTTGAAAATGGGAACTCAACAACTCAAGTCATTTGGGTAATTTTGAAGATTCAAACTTCAGATGGTAGTGCTTTCCAGATTTACAAAAAGGGATTTGTCCCAAACTTTTATGTTTTGATGATTTCTGCAGTGTTGAAGGATCCATTTTAATTTTTTTTCATTGCAGTTACACACTGTAAAGACCTTTGGATAATAACCCATACCTTCTTTGCAATATAGTATCCAGGAATGGAACAAGGACTCTTCAAATAAGAGGAAGGCTTCATTTCTTGGAGATTTCTTGCATGATATTTTCAATTCCATGGGAGTGGGTAGGCAAGAGAAAACCAATATCCTGATTTATTTATTTTTCCCTCGAATCCAGTGTTTCTGTCTGGAGCCCAGTAGTCAGTCCAGTTTGTTCTTTTCTACTTGATCACAGATGCATTTTAATGAGCAACAAAAGAGTAATAGCTGCAAGGTATCAAAAGAGTATTAAATACACCCTGTTCTCTTAGTCTGGTGAAGACAAAGATGTGGGTATCTAGATAATGTTTTTTGCACCTGTAGGGAAAGGCAGTGGCAGATAACCAGTTCTAAATCACCCAAAGGTTGATGGTCACAATCCAGTAAAATAAAGAGTTGCTTAAGGGCCCCAAAGATGAGTACTCACCAAAAATTCCAAAAGGAGGGCAGCCAGCCTTTAAATGAGTTTTAGGGAGGGGTGCAGCCTGATTCTGGTTGCACAGTTGAATTGCTTTCATCTGTGCTCCCAAGGCTGGCTATGTCCCTTTACCAGGTGCTCAGTCATTGTTTTAGGCTGTGACTTAGTAATTCCCATACAGCACCATCAGTTATGTTCAAATAGATACAAACTTAGAGATTACTGGCCATAAATAAATGTCCATAAGGCTAATATAAGAATGTAGAAAATCAAGGCTGATTTATTAAAAAGGGGAAAGGAGTGTCCAACTAATTGCATGTTTAGGATTCTTTTCAGGTCTGAAACAATCTGTTACTTCAGTCTTTAACAATCTGTTATCCCTTAGGTAATAGGGACTGATACACCATGACAACGTTTGGAGGGCAAAAAGGTAGTGTCTCCAAATGATATCTTAATTTACAAAAAATTCTTTGTCATTGTCAGTTGTTTCAATATAAAAAGCAATCCATTCATTTTTGGTGTGTACCTAATACAGCATAGTTTACATTTTTAATTTATTTAACACTAGATACGCTCTCCTTTTTGTACAAGTATGGAGAGCAAAGAATTATATACTACTATTCAAGACCATCTAGTTCAAGATGTCTGATCAGAGCAATCTCGTGTTCTTTTGGGAAATCTTAAGAAATTTTGTATCAATCTTTTTCCTCATTGGGAATTTGCAGAAATAGATTTAAGGAAGATTGTGTGTCTGAAATCATGAAGAGTTCACAACTAAAGCTCAAATAGCATGGAACTTATAATTCCTTCCCAAGCAGAAGTGTTAAAAATTCTTCATTTCAGATTTGCTCTTGCCTGAAAGGGCAGCCTTTCAAGGGATGCGACTAGGTTCAGAAAAGGGCTTTCACAGGACCATTGCAGACTAGAAGAGGATTTTCTTGTCACTTGATTGTTCTGTTTCCAAATCTGCTTTTGATAGGCATTATGAAAGGTTTTTCAAGACTATCTTGATTGTGGGATATTTCACATTCATATTCTGTGAATCAAAAAGTGCCCTTGGACCACTGATTTTTTTAAAACTAGCTTAGTTATTCTTCACTTACTTTTGGCTTACTGGAGTTTCATGATGTCTTCACAGTAGAACTTACTCTTTCTCCCACTCACAGTACTGTGCTTTGCAATGGTCATATTGCTGCCAAAAATTATTTCTTCCACACTGTCAGGCAACAGAGCACATATTTATGCAGCAGCTTGACAGCACTGTGGAGGGAGTGGGAGGCTTTGATGTGCATTTGGAGAATTAAAACTAAAAAAACCTTTCTGAAACTACTAAGGGGTGTTTTCTAGAGTTCTAATTACTATCAATAAAACTAAATACACAAATACTAAAACTTTCATTGCAATGAACAGGGCATGATATTTCCATTCTTTATTTTCTCGCAGTGAAGACATTACTTTAAAACAACCTACATTTGCCACCATTTATCAAAAAGGTAACAGAGTTTATAAAGCGTTCAGATGTTACAGTAAGGGACTTAAATTTAGTTTGATAACTGATCTAAAGGAAAATAAAAGTGGGACTTGAATATATATATATATATATAAATATACACATGTTTAGATACAAATATATGCATGAACACAACAAGGAGAGATCAGTAGATACGATCACTGTCTTTAATCAATGAGGCAAAGGAACTGTCTGGAAGATAAAACATAATTAGACATAGATTATATATTTCTAATAGTCAAGTTAATTTTATTGGAACAAAACTATTAGGATAATCATGTCTGACTCAGAATTCACATCTTTCTGGTATACTTGAGACAAATTTGCATTATTATAGTATAATATACTATAATATAGTGGTATCAATGATCTACAATCTCTCTTGGCTGTTAAACAATAGATTATACATTATCTGTTATATATTTTTTTATATACACAATATATAACATTGAATGAATGACAGAATCATAGAATGCTTTGGGTTGGAAAGGACCATAAAGATCATCCCCCCATTTTTAATCTTCATTAGTAGTGCCATAGAGATGAGCTCACCTTTTTTGTGATATTTATTTCTTCATCATGCTTTGTCTACTCCAGGGACTTGGACTTGGTGATTTCTAGAGGTCCCTTGCAACCTCTGCAGTTTTGTGACTTGATTTTTGAAACAGTTTGCACATGCAGCTGCCATAGACTCAAGTAAAAGTTGTCAACATTCACTTCTAAAATCTGGCTACTATGTTAGGATGCAGTTATCTCACTGATGCAGAATGTGATACACAAACAAACAGAATACATTGTTCCTTCTCTTAAACCTCACATCACTGCATAAGCAATTCCTGTTACCCATTAAGAGTTGAACAAGCAGTTTCTGACTCAATCTTCATACCACCAGGAGACTTCAAAAATGACTCACGGCCAGTAGCATTTGGAATTTGAGATGAAATGAGGCTTCTACATTTGACATCAAATAGCAAATAAACTGGATTATAAAATGCTAAGCAATGACAAAGTTTTTGATCTTTGTGTTTACGTGTGCATATCAACCATCTCAAATGAAGGTGACTCAAATTCAACAGACTTTGTAAAATTACAGAAGAATTGTCATATCAATGTAGTTCTAGCAGCAGGTTAAGACTCAAGGTAGTCTTGCATAAAATAATACTGGAGGAAGAACTGTCAATTTGCTTTGGTAATTCATGGAATTCAGTACCCAGCTGGTTACAAACCTTATGACAATATAAAAACTTCTGAGTTTGGACAAAGAAAAAGAAGTTTCTTATCCTGGAAAATTATTAAATCCTTTAGAGAAGAGCCATTTGAATGGGAGGTAAAAAGCAAGACAGAAAAAGCATATGAATGAAGCCTTGGAAAAGTATAGTGGTAAAACTGGAGCTTTGAGAGAAGATGCAGTACTGGAGAATGGCGAGAAAGAAATATTCTCAGTAGGCAACTGAAAACTGCTAAGAGTTGGTTAGGAGGGGATGGCAGACATACTCCAGGACAAAGGGAAGCAATTTAAACAGCTCTTTGGAGATTTGAAGGCAGCCCTGGCTCAGTTCTGTGATAGTAAAAATTATTAAAAATAAACCTTTTGTGAATTATTGTAGAGAGAATTTTGCATTGGGCTTACAATGGCTGTGTAAGTTAAACTCTTGACTTGTGGCTTGTGATGTGACTAGAACTTCTTGATGGGATACAAAGCTACACCTTGCAGTAGCTGGTTGTTCATTACAAATGTAACTAACTTCAGTGCATATAAATATTTAGTAGCTTTTATTACAATACATCATAATCAATTCATTGTTCTAATGGCTATTTCACTATCAGGCAAAGAATACGGAACTTAAGCTATGAAGATAAGACTGAATAAGTGATTGTTCGAAGGAGCATTTATTCAGAGGTAGGTCTATAAAACAGATCAGAGCACAAAATGTACAAACAGTTGAAATACTGACACCATCTATGAGAGTACATTCAAAGTTTAGCAGATTGCTGATGACTAATCTCTTGTTTTTCCAAATCAAAGTGGGTGATCATACATGGCATCACGAAGTTGTCTCCTGAGTCAGAGCAGTACTACAGAGAAAGCAAAAAGTTCACATCAAACATATACTCATTTTATTGACAAATTCTAAGCAATTCTCTGCTTTGGAGAGCAGTACCTTACTACATCTCCCTCGGCCTGCTGGCCATGCTTCTTTTGATGTGGCCCAGGATACCATTGGCTTTCTGGCTGTGAAGGCACACTTCTGACTCGTGTCCAGCTTACCATCTCCCAGAACTCCCAAAAACTTTTGTAAGCCCAAGTCAGGGCTGTGCACCATCCTTTTGTCCCCCAGCTGGTACTGACAGTGGGGTTGCCTTGATCCAAGTGCAAGGCCTTGCACTTGGATTTGTTCAACCTCATAAATTTCTCCTGTGTCCACTGCTCTAAGTCAAAGACTGTATATTCAAAGATCTTAGAAGCAAAGAACAAACCTTGAAAGTTTTAAATAAACTAGCTAGAATGCAGGGAGAACACAAAATGTAATTCAATTTGTTATTGGAAAAAAAAAAATAGTGCTGAGGTCAATTTTCCATCAAATACCAGATGCCTCTTCTGGTTTTCTTAAAAGGCTTGTAAAGTGCCATGCCATTAGAAAGTAAGGTAATCAGCCTTATTTTACAGGTTTGGATATAAGGAATGCTTCTAAATGTTCAAAGAGCACAAACTGATTTTGAATTCAAAGTCATGTAAGACAGTGGTTCGTAATCCTTTAGAAGTAGCATAATAGAGTACTGAACAATCTCTCAGGAAAACCAGATGAATTTTGTAACTTAATATGTCTTTTTCCATCTATATTCCAAAATGTGGTACAAGTCAGTATAAAATAGCTATGGATGAACTAGATACAAGGTGAGCTGTAGCAATTCTACCAGTGGCAAAGCAATAAAGTGACTTCATATTCCCTTCCCTTCTAGACTCATTCAGTTAGCCTTATACTGTTGCCAATAGACAGCAACATAATGGAACTGTTCTTCGCTTCTTCGTGATCTGATAGGATTTTGCAGGTGATTTTGTCTATTATTATATCACCTCTTTTCCTTAAATCCCATTAAATATTTTGCAGACATTTCATAGCCTATTCCAAACATGGTTTGACTTTGTACTATATTTTTGTCCCCATTTTTCTGTTTTCTTATGCAGCTTCATAGCCGGAGAAATCCCTTCTCCTCAGCTCTCCATAGGCACTATTGGCTTAATTGTCCAAGAGAAGAGTGAGTATGCAGTTGTTAATATAGAAGCAGTCAAAGGTAATTAGATAAGGCTGTTGGATACAAATCAAATATTTGACAACCAACAGTGCCACTGTGACTTTGAAGTGAAAGGGAGAGAATTGCAGGTGCTGAACACTGAACATCAGGTGGTCTCAGAATTTATGCTCATCAGAGATGAACTGCTATGCTCTATATGAGGTGAAGGATTTGTACTATCTTGACATCCATACCCAAGAAGGAGAAATCAAATGTATTGCTGTGGCTGGCCCCTTTTCTAGAGTGAGGGATATAGGAGTATGGCCATCAAAGGTGATAGGAAGTGTTTTAGCACTTCCTGTTATTGACTGTTCAGGGTGGGAAACCGTTTTGGCAATAAAATCCTTACTGTGCAAACTCTTTTTCTGAGAGCCATTAACTCCAGCCTTCATATGAGAAAATGTTAAAAATTAAACTCTTTCACTAGCAGCAGATTTGTCCAAATTGACGGAGATGTAAGAAGCTTTCAAACTCAAGATTGGTCAGTTCTGCATTCCACTCTTATGTCTTGCAATCTACAAAGGTGAGACTTCAGGTCTTTGAGACCTCAGAGATTTAAGGCATTTCATTTACAAATAAGTAAAGTCAGTGTTCTAGGCAAACTTTTTGCCTTATAAAGGTTTGTTTTGAGCTAACTTGTCTATCTCTATAAACTCCTTGTGGTTACTCCAGTTTTAAAACCAGTTGTGTAATATTCAGTAAATAATAATAATAATAATGATTAAAAAGTCTAAATTTCCTTTTGGGGAAAAAAAATATTTTTAATAAATGTGAGTTCTCCTCATTCACCTTACTTTCACTGAGAATTGTTCCATAGCTTAGCTGTGGTTTATAAACTGTGTGTGCAAGCATGATAACAAAATGCAGGGGCATTCACAAGATTTCTGGCTTGATTTAGAAGAGAGTCTGTATCTGTCTGCCCTTCTTTTCAGCAAGAATATATGTGGTACTCCACAGGGAGAGATTGTGACTGATTCTGATTCTAGAATAAGACTAAAAATCCACTGGGGGAAAGTCAAATGGGACTCAGAGGAACTTCAGAGCCATTATAAGAACAGTTATGAAGAAACTATCTTCTTTAAATTTCTTTTAATCTTTTTTTTTTTTTTAATTGCTCCATATGCCCACCAGTGTCTCAGCATTTATACTTCTGGGAAATTTTAGATAGAAGGAAGCTGTTTTTCGTGAGAAGGGATTTAGGTGAACATCTCATTTTAAATGAGCTTAGTAAAAAGATCTCCTGTGATGCTAATGATTGCTGGAAGGTTTTGCTCTTTGGTCTTTCTAATTGAAGTCTGAGATAACATCTAAGTACGTTGTTTTAAGTGCTTCTATTTAATTGATTTTTCATTAGCATTTTCTAAAATTACAGAAAATATCAATAATAGCTTGTTCTTTCTGGGGCTAAAATTTATTAGCTTTCAAAATCATACAGAGAGACTCAGAGAGACCTGAATAAAGCAATCTCTTGATTTATTCCTGTGCACAAAGCACAAGAGATTCTGTGTCTTCTCAGTAATACTCACAGAAGCTGTTTTGATTTATTTCTTATGGGCATTTATTTATGTTATGTATATACATATTATTTTATAATATATATTATGTTTTTAATGCAATTGATGTAATCACACAAAGTTAGAAATTAATCCAATTGTTATGAAGAATATGTCTCTTCAGTTCATCCAAATGGCTGTAGCTGAATTTGAGAGAACTTCAGAGTACATGAAGGTTATTTCACCCCTGAAATTTCACCAGGCTTCATCTGAATTTCAGTTTCTCAAGGTACTCTCAGTTGTGAAATAGAAAAAGAGGATAAATATTTTAAAATTCCAGCAAAATGTAGAATTTACAACATCCTTAGTCTTCATATTTACAAAATGATTTGTTTAGATAAAATTAAGCCGCTTACTTCCAATGCTGTCTACTTTCAATGAAACACTAATAATTTTATTTTACTTTTATAATTATAGAATATGCATTATCTTTTCATATACTAAAATAATTGAAATCATAACATGAAAATGGAACATATGCCTTTGTTCGACAGAATATTTTATACCTGTTGATGTGGACATTAGATTGTAATGAAATTGTGATGAAATTAGAGGGAAAACATATCAGTTTTTGCCATGCAATGGTTAGCTTCTCTCTTCTTTTTATTGAGGTTGATTGGATGTATATCCTGCTTCCAAGGAGTGATGGTTCCAGAATGACATTCACATCTGTGTGAAATATTTTACATAAGCTACAATCAGCATTTTTAGGGGATGGAATATCGTTCCCTCTATAGTCAACTATGAGCCCTCAGAAGCCACATCAAAAACTTTGCTAACTGAAGTGGTGTGTTAATTATTATGCTGGAAAAAAAAAGCACAAGGCAGAATTTTAGAATTGCTCTCTAAGCAGGTTTGGTTCAAGTAGACCAAACCGATCTCTGAGCTTTAAAACAACTAAGTTACAACTGGAGAAAATTGTAACCGCAATTAACCTGTGTAATTACACACTGCTTGCACCTGATGAGTCAGGCCAATCCCTGAATCTGGTAATGGAAAGATGTTTTGCATCCAGGTAAAATTACCTTAGGGTAATGACCTCAGGCACTTACATTTGCATTATAGACATCTGAAGTGAGATGTAAGGAATCCCACCTGTGGGATACTTCCATTTCTTATTCAAAGCCCTGTTCCATTCCCAGCTATGAAGGTGCTCATCCTTCTGTAGCTCATCCATGTGTTATGAGGAGGGGAAACTCAAACAACAGTGAAGAGTATGAATGAACAGGCACAAAAAGGCAATGGCTGAATCTGAGATGGCAGCTGCAGTCTGATGTCTCTGTGGCTGCTGCATGACACTGGTGTTGCTGGGCAGAGGGTTCACGTGTTCACCTCCATACACTATCACTCTTCAGCAAAACACTTAGATGGATTTAAACCAAGTTAAGAGCTTTAGTCCTTCTAACATCAACAGAACTTCATCACATAATTGATTTAAGGGATATGTTTAAGCAATCTGTTGCTTAGCAATGAATCTGGGCATCTGCTTATATTTTTGACACAGGACTCTGTGAGACAGTAGAGCACAGCAGCGGCTGTTTCATACACTTCACAACTCTCTCCCTACTGCTATGTCATGAAGACAACTTAGGAGAAGGCAAGAACAAGATTACAGAGCAAGAGGGTTTCCTTGCCTATCACAACCAACTGACCCATGATTAACAGGGGTTTTCCTGTCCTCGAAGTATCTTGTCACTCTAACCATGTCTTTTAGTCTTATGCATTTGTCTGTGTCTTATACTGTGTTATCCCATTCTCTCAAGTCTTTTTCCCTCTCCAATTTGCCTGACGTCGGTATTTTTTCACAAAAGCTTTTTGTTTCCACTGTCACTGTTTCTTTGCTCCTCTGAAGCTCACAACCTCTGGCTGTTGCAGTGAAGGGCCCTTCCCACTCCTAGTGGAGTTTGTTGCAGGACACAGTAACTTGGGTTGGGGGGCTAAAAGCTGTTAGTTTGGACCATCCCATGCCTGTCAGTCATGGTGGTTAAAGCTCATCCATGTATGCTGCCATGCTTCCAGCATGCCCTGAGAATAAGCGGTTACACTGGGGACA